AAAAAAAACGAGTTAAAAGGTGGTTGCCTCATGTGTCGTGAGGAAATGCACAGTAAACACAAGCTGGTCAGCAGAAATGTGGTTCAGGAGGACGCAGGTACCGTGTGCCGACGTTTCTGGGAAGCTGCGGGTGGGGAAGGCTGTGGCAGTGGAGCTGTGGGGTTGACCTTCACTCGGAGAAAGGGTGATTTAATTTTTAAAAGCATCTTCTTAGCATAATATGACTCAAAGGGCACAGGCAGCTCGCAATGATCATGCTGCCGGGGGGAGCATTCCCTCCCAAGGGAAAGATGCTTGGGGCAAAAGAGTTTCTACAGACAAAACTGGACCCCTCCTGAAAGAGAAAGCCTTACTCAGTATCCTTGTCAAAGAAGAGGTGACCCTAGAGTTGCAGCGACCAAGGACAGATGGTTGTTTCGGGTGCCCTGTTCCACCCCAGCCCCAGACCACCGAGGCACCAGAAGGCAGGTCACTTGCCCACAGAAAGATGGTAAAAAAGGCAGGGCTCGCCACCCAGCTCTTTTTAGAGCGACTCTATACATGCTCCATGTGGAAAATGGAGAAGGAGCTCATGAATTGCGGGTTCTGCTGGTCCTGGCGCTGCCTGAGCCTTCCATCAACACGGGGGTTTGTGCCCCTTCCCATGTCGGAGCATGAGCACGTGTGTTTAGCTTAACACATGACCTCAGTCCCTTATTTATAGAATCACCTATAGGATCAGAAGGGGCCTTGAATTTTTCAGCTCTGCTTTCCTGCAGTTGGTGGAGGAAACTGTATGTGTTAGTGAAATTCACAAAACCCGAAACTGACAAGGTTTGGGTTGGAAATCATTTTCTGTACATCCCTTGGACAGAAATCATCATGCCAGGTGCCAGGGTGGTAGCATGAGGCCTGTTGGGCCGACGTGGCCTCGAGAACACACGAGAATGGAGCCCAAGACCTCTCCACCCTCCTGCCCACTCCAGCCTGCCTTGCCATTCCTCATCTGCCAAGCCCCACCCACCTCAGGGCCTTGGCACCTGCTATTCCCTTGGCCAGGAACAGCCTCCCCATGTGGGTATTCACAGGGCTCACTGCCTTCAGGTCTCCACTCAGATGTCACCTTCCCTAACCAAGTGTCTCAAAGAGTGTCCCTTTCCCTGCGTCGTCTCCTGCCTTTACCCCGCTTTGTTTCTTGTAGTGCTTGTCTCCACCTGCCGGTAGATCCAATGTGCACCTGCCTGATCCCCGTCTATCTGCCCCGTGACTGTGAGGTCTGTGAGGCAGGGGGCGTGTCATTCCACAGCCTAGTGAAGGTTGAGAGCTTGTGTCATTAATACCTTTGCCTTTGGGCGCCTGGGTGGCTCAGTCGTTGAGCGTCTTCCTTCAGCTCAGGTCATGATCCCGGGGTCCTGGGATCGAGCCCCGCGTCGGGCTCCCTGCTCTGTGGGAGGCTTGCTTCTCCCTCTCCCCCTCCCCCTGCTTGTGTTCCCTCTCTCGCTGTGTCTCTCTCTCTGTCAAATAAATAAATAAATAAATAAAGTCTTTAAAAAAAAAATACCTTTGCCTTGCTGGGAACCCATTTCAGCTTCAGCCACCCTTGGGGCAAGGGTGTGGATTTTTCTGTTCCAGCTTCAGTGTAGCTCAAGACCAGGTCCTTTAGCTTCTTTTCACTCCTCCTCCCTGTCCCTGTCCCCCCAGCCACTCCCAGGACCTGAGCCTGTTATGGCCCTCTGCATCCCTTTTACTCACCCGCATTTCCACACCAATAAGGATCCATCCCTGCCCTCATCAGCCTGTTAAGCTGAGCTGCTTCCAATCCTCCTTTCTGCTCTGTTTGGGTATTTGTTTTACCTTCTCATTCCCTCTCCCCTCCCCCTGCCCCGTTGCAGAGCAGACCAAGTCCCTGATAAGAAGGGCCAACAAGGAAGACTATAAAGTGGCCTTGACTGGGGATGAGCAGAATCCTGGGTCACTTTTCCAGCAGCTCCTTACCTTTCTGTCCCTAGGACCAGCACTGGGGCAATGACAAGAGACAGTACATAACCCACTTGCCAGCCATCCACAGGCATGCAAGGTTCCTTTGGGTGCCCTTGACCCTCCTGGGAGAGTGGCTTGGACTTGTCGTGACCTTGGGGGAGGCCGGCCCTTCGGGCTCTCTTAGCCTTTGTAAGGTTTCTTTTTTTTTTTTTTTAAAGATTTTATTTATTTGAGAGCAAGAGCGAGAGAGAGAGAACATGAGAGGGGGTAAGGTCAGAGGGAGAAGCAGACTCCCTGCTGAGCAGGGAGTCCGATGCGGGACTCACTCCCGGGACTCCAGGATCATGACCTGAGCCGAAGGCAGTCGCTTAACCAACTGAACCACCCAGGCGCCCCTGTAAGATTTCTTAAAAACCAGAATATGTCCATGAACAAATAAAATTCAGGGGATTTCACATAGATTTCAGATTCTAGCTTTTCTTAGAAAAAAAAAAGACAATACTGAGAGTGTAGCCTTATATGGCAGGTGTTGGCCAGAGCTGGGCTCTGGCCCCTGGCCCGGGGCGTTCAAATTCACAGCCACTCCCTGGGTGTCTGGGAGAAACTGATACCCCCTCATTTTAGTTGAGCTTTCCCATAAAAAACCCAAGGTTTCCCATCAGCCCAGTGCCCGGCCATACTGGAAGCCAACCTGGTGGAGCTGCTATGTTTCCGTTCCTCTCCTCCCAATGCCATTCGGGATGTTGCTGCCAGAACAGTCCTTCAGATGCAACACTCTAACACAGCGTAGTGGAAGGGTCAAGTGCTGCAAGGAATCTCCAGTACTCAATGTGGATGGATGGACTTAAGTACTCGGTATTCAAAGGATGCTGTTGTATAGATCCTAAGAGGCCACCTGTGAATTCCCAGTTTGTTAGAGGCCAGCTTCAGTGGCGATCTTTGACATGACTGCTACATGATACAATCCAGTTGCTTCTGCTGAATTCACATCCCCGGAGCAGACCTTCTCCCAAACTCAAGACTCGAGTGTGAACGTGTGACTCGATGGCCCCACTGGGATGCCCGAATCACATCTTGGACCCAGTCTGTCCTAACTTGAGCCCCTGCTCTCTGCTCCCAAACCTGTACCACCCACAGCCCTCGCAGCTCAACCCGTCCTGTCTCCCAGCCACATCCACGTTGTCAGGACGCCCCACGGGCTCTGTCTGCAGCTAGAAACTTCTGGAAACCTAGTCTCCCGGCTCTCACCTCCACCTCCCTTCATTCGGTCCCCGACTCAGCACCTAAGTCAGGTCAAGTCCTCCCCTGCTCTAGAGCCTACAGTGGCTCCCCGTTTCACTCAGAGTAACGGCCTCGCGGTGACCTCCACAGCTCTGAGTGACCCGGCCCTCCCCCCGCCCCCATACTCAAGCCCCCTCAACCTGTGTGCCCTGCTGCCCGCAGCACCTGGCTGTTCTGCGAACACAGCACCCACGGGTCTCACCGCGCCAGTGCCCAGAGCATAGCATTACCCTGCAGCCCCACTCTGTTCTTCCAGAACATGTTCTGACATCTAACACTCTATTTTGTTTATTATTCCCCCGGCTGTTTGTCCTACTTTACAAGGGTGGGGTTCTCGATCTGTCTCGTCACCGCTGGGTCCCCAGTGCCGAGGACAGAACCTGGCACAGTGGCACTCCAGAAATATTTGCCGAGGGGATGAAAGTCAATAGGTAAAAGCCTCTTTAAGCATTCCAATAGAAACATTTTGAGCCGTTCTATTTTTAAATGGAGTTGTTTTTTTTTTTTCTAATATTGAAAGAATCCACACATAAGTAATTGAGAGGTTGTTATAGTGACCCCCATGTGTCCATTACCTGGCCTTGGCAATCGTGAATTGATGGCCAATGTCGTTTCATCTACATCCCCACCCACTGCCCAGATGATTAAGAAGCAAATTCAAGTCATCACTTCGTTTTATCTGCAGATAGTTTAGTATGCTTTTCTTTTTCTGCTGCATAGCCCTCTGTTGGGTGGGTGTACCGTAATTTATTTTATTCAGCCAGTCTTACTGGGTGCTGTTTGCATGTTACTTTATACTTTATAAAACCAATTGTCCCTTCCTTGGAACTTCTGGAATCGACTGCAGCATTGCAATGCTTTTTTCTTAAATTGAGATGTAAAGTCTTTGCAATTCTTGTTACCCATGGAAAAACAAAACAAAATAAAGTAAAATATTCCCAAGCAACCATCTGTCTCCATGATAGCATATATTATTCCTCTTAGGTACTTTGTTAGAGCGTTAATTGTTTACAACTTTTTAGTCAGATATGATTTCAAATTTAAAGTTGCAAGGATAGTATAAATGATCCTCCATATACCCTCCAGCCCCACTCACTGGCTGTTAACATTTTGTCCCAGTTGATTGATTGATTGAGTGAGTGATTGATTTTTTTTTTTTTTAAGTAAGCTCCAGGCCCAACGTGGGGCTTGAACTCACGACCCCAAGATCAAGAGTCTCATGCTCAACCGACTGAGACAGTCAGGTGCCCCTTGTTCCCACTGATTTATATTTGTACTGTGTGTGTGTGTGTGTTTTAACCATTTGAGATTAAGTTGCAGACATCATTCCCCCTTTACCCCTGAACACTGCAGTGTGTATCTCCTAAGAGTGGTGCGTTCATTTTCCATTAGCACAGCACACTTAGGAAATTCAGGAGAGTTAGCATTACTACAATACTATTATCTACACCACACACTATATTGGGGTTTCTGCACTTGCCACAGTAACGTCCTGAACTCCAGTGTCCCCACCCCCACCCCTGCCCAGGATCCAGCGCCAGGACCGACCCCGCATTCTGTTGCCATGTCTGCCCAGTCTCCTTTAATTTGGAATCCCTCTCCAGGCTTTTTTTTTTTTTCTTTGTCTGGCATGACCTTGACATTTTTGGAGAGTACAGGCCAGTTGTTTTATAGAATGTTCCTCAATTCGGGGCTAATAGATTTTGAGCTACACTCCAAAAACGCAATCTAAAGGTGCACCCCCTGTTTCCCACCCGCAGGACCCGGAAGCCGCCGAGAGAGACCCCTCTCAGCCACCCGAAAACTCATGCACGAGGCTGAGGACCGAGAGGAAGATGCCTCAGCCGTGCTCAGGGCCATCCAGGTGGAGAACGAAGCCCTGCAGAGGGCGCTCCTCAGCAAAAAGGCTGAGCCCCCCGCTGGCCCACTACAGGTGTGTTCAGGGGCAGAGGGGAGGGACCAGAGAGGAGGCTCCTCAGGGACCCGGTGGTTTATCTGAGCAGCACTTGCAAAGAGAGACATTATGTAGGCATCCCCGAACTTAGACTAGCTGCACGTCCGCTGCTCGACGCACAATTGCTCCCGGACCTGCCAAAGTTCCCTGTTTCCTTCCCCTTCTTCTTTGTTTACTTCTGAAAGCCTAAGGTGGATGCCAGTTTGCCTCCAATCCTTGCTGATCTCCCTGCAGGCCCTGGATACCTTAGACCAGGGGCTGCAAACTGGTGGGTCAGAGAAAGAATGGAGTAGACCACAGCCCTGGCTGCTCTGGAAAGACCTCATTCCCCAGAGCACGAGTCCCTTGGGCCTCCGCAGCCCTTAGCGGTCCCTGTTGTCCTGCCCGTGCCCCACTGCACCTGTTCCAGAAGCTTCCCTGGCCTGGCAAGTGTTTGAGTTTGTGTCCACCGCCTTCAGCTTTGCACAAGAAGCAGGAGGGTACGTGGCGGGGTGAAGAAGAGACCCTTCAGGAGCTGGAGGGTGGACATGCCTCAGGGTACACATCCCACACCACCAGCTGCTCCCCAGGCTCTAGCACAGGCTGCCCTTTGGGGCATTCATCGAGCGGTACCTGTTGTCTGTCTTCTTGGAGCTCGGTCCTTTGCCCCTGACGTTTGTGTTTATGGGATCTCATGACGGTCCCCGCGCCTCTGTGCCCTCATCTGTCCGTGCAGAGTATATAGTGGATGGCTTTATTCTGACCTCAGATCATCTGATTTCATCATTCCAGGACGTGGAGGGACCAGCAGCAAAATCGTGGACCAGTCTACTGAAGGAGAAGGAGGAGAGCCCTGAGGTGGGTGAAGGCTTGAGCAGAACAACAAAGCCCTGTAGCCACTGTCCCTGACGGCACCCAGGAGCCTCCAGAGGGCTTCCCCACTGTGATCCCAGCAGGCCCTCCCTGTGCTCCCCAAGCATGGTGTCATTCTGCCCATTTCACGGATGGGGAAACCCGGGCTGGAATAACTTGCCCAAGGTTCTGAGTGGAAGCCAGAACTCACCGAGGCCTGGGGACTCCAATTCCTTGTTACATTTCTGTTTCCTGACAAGGCAGCACAAAAACAGATTTTAGGATCCTGAATAAATAAATTATGACCTACCTAGGTCAGTTAGGCCTCTCTCAGCAAAGACAGCCCCAACGAATTCAGACATGAACGAATACAATGCCCAGAAACGTCTTTGTTACATTGTACACAGGTCTGGGCCATGTGCTCAGAATACAGAGGTGGCTAAATCAGATCAGATTAGCCCCTGTCCTCAGGAAGCTTGCAAACAGCAAGCAAATAAAGCCATAAATACAGCAGATGATTTCAGAGAGAGATGACAGTAAAAGATTGTAGATGGTGGCTACCCTCTAAAAGGGTGGTCCGAGGAAGCCCCTTGGAGGGTCCCATTTGAGCCGAGCCCTGTGTCTTAGGGAACCAGCCAGCAACACGGAACAGCAAGTAGAAGGGACAGGGGAGTGCTCTGAAGTGGGAGCGAGCCCAGCCTGATCCAGGAGCAGAAAGAAGCCTGACTGGTGGTGGGGATGGGGGGCACCAAAGGGTAGGGGACAGACAGTGCAGAAGGGAGAGGAGGCAGGGAGGGGAGGAGAGAGCGCCCCAGAGCACCGTCATGGTTTCCTTTATGTGTCCCACCTGCTTGTTCTGTTTTTTCTGTCGCCAGCTGACATTTCTGATCAGTCTGCGTTACTGCCCACCACATAAGCGCGTTTTCTGGATGACCTGACCCCAGACCCGCAGAGCTTCCAATGACTAAAACCATTTGCAGATAGAGAGCAGAGCACATTTCTAGTTTAGATGATAAATGTCAAAGGAGGAGGATTAAAAATGAAAGGGCCCTAAGGATGTCACTGGAATCCTTCCATGGAGCCTGGTTACTTTGTAGCAAACAGAGCAGGGGTGTGACCAAGGGGGGAGAGAGATTTTTCAGTAGCTGATCAAAGAGATCGATTGCTGGCACCTCCTGGATCATAAGAAACAGAGATATCTGTCCCCTTGCAGAGACATGGTTGGGGATCCTGGATCTCATCAGCCTCTCTGTCCCTCTCATTGCTGTTCCCTCTTCCTGCTTAATAAGCGTTTCCATCCTCCACAGCTTCCTACCCTCGCGGCCACCAGCACAACCAGCACGGCCAGCCTGCAGGAGCCGTCCGGGGCAGCAGGGGGAGCTCGAGCCGTCAGCGAAGCCATTGACAGAATTGGCCTTTTGGGGAGCAGGTACCTACCGAGGCGGCTTGCAACACAAAACCAGAACCCCATAGCAATGCAGCCATGAGGATCTCGTTAACCGAGGTTCCTCTTTGCTCCTCCTATGTTATCCCAGGCCGCGTAAAGCTGCTCCCTTAGCCCGTACCCTCCCTCCCCCTCCGGCCCTAAAGCGCCGAACTGACTCGATGTCTTTCTACCCGATGTGTCTTTGCTGGTTCGGTTCCATCCACCCTGTGTAAGACTTCATCCCCCCGCCCCCTCCCCAGGGACTTCCACCAGAGGACCCCATGCAGCAGACAGTGGTGAACTTGCTGTCGGCGGTGGGGGGGGGGGGGTCGTGGAGAGGGGGAGAGTGGCCCAAAGCAGTGTCCTTTCCACCTCTGTTTTCTGCTAAGTTTGTTCAAACGCAGCTTTCGGTTCCATTAACGTGTGGGAGGAGCAACTGGAACTGTCAGGTCTTCTCTTCGAAACAGTCTCCCCTCTAGTCTTGAGGCAAAGTTGATCTTCAGAAAGATGCACCAGGTGGAGCCAATAGTTACAAGCATGTGTTGGCACACATGTGCTGGGCACCGTGGTCTCTGCAGGGCGAGAGGGCATGCCGGGCACTGAGCGGTGGCCCTGGCCTGGGACCGCGCGCTTTTTCAGTGCTAGGCATCCCTCTAAGAGTCGGCAGACTCCAGACTGGAAACCAGGGCTGTGTGCCCCGGCGGCCATGAGTAAGAACCCACGGGTTCCTCTACTCAGGAAAGGCCTGGTGCCTGAGGATATCTTACGTCTGATACGGTTCTGTTCACGGGCAGCACACACATCACCCGATGCTTCTTTCTTCATCCTCAAGATCCTTGGTGCTCTGGGCTCTTGAGGGTACTCTGCCTTAAACAGCACATACGGGGTGCATTTGCAAACCCCAGAAACAGGAGGCGCGGAGTAGGTCCCTAGGCCAGGAGTAGCAGAGGTGTTTAGCAAAGGGCCGGATAGCGAATACTTCAGGCTTTTCACTTTACTTGTTGGTTGGTTTGTTTTAACAACCCTTCGAAAGGTAAAAGCCATTCTCAGCTTGCAGGCTCTGCAGGCCGTACTCTGCCACCCTCTTCGCCATCTTAGCCATCTTACCGGTCTGCCGCCATCTTGCCCCAAACAGTTTCCTCTGCTTGGCTCCTCTTTCATCACTAGTTGTCCAGTTATTATAAAGGAGGGGGGGACAGCCTGTGTGTGCCTTTGAGCTGTATGCGGGGCGGGTACTCTCTTCTCAAACCGCGACTTCTTCTGAGCTAGAAAAGTCAGTGCGGTGGCCTTGATGGGCCTGCTCTCTGGTGTGAACCCTCTGTCCCTGCCCGTTCACTAAACCAAAATCCCCTTTCAGGCAGCAACAAAGGCTTCTGAAAGTGCTCCAGGCCATTGAAAGCGACTCTGCCCAGCTCAGCACGCTTGCTTCACCAATGAAGGAGCCCATGCCAGACCCAGAGGTGAGAATGTTGACTTACAGGGATTTCTAGATGCAACTGGCATCTCGCCTGAAAGCTGAAGGAGGAGGGGCCTCTCGGTGCCACGATCTCTGTGTGGTGGGGAGGGTTGACAGCCGTAAACTGAATGTTCTCTGCCCAAGTCTCCATCCCTCTCCCGCCCAGCGCCCGGACAGGCCTGGGGTGGGGTCAGGGGTAGCAGCGGAGAGAAGCCTGTCCACACAAGAGGCATTATAAATAGCATGTGAGCCCAGAGGAAAACGTCCAGCATCGCTGGTCATCACGAAATGCAGATTGGAGCAAACTTAATGTCCCACTTGATATCTGAGCTCCAGAATTTTTTTTGAAGATGTTACTATTTATTTGTCAGAGAGAAAGAGAGAAAGCACAAGCAGGGGGAGCATCAGGCAGCAGGAGAAGCAGGCTCCCCGCTGAGCAAGGAGCCTGATGCAGAACTGAATCCCAGGACCCTGGGATCATGACCAGAGCTGAAGGCAGACGCTTAGCCGACTGAGCCACCTGGCGCCCCTCCAAGATTCTTTTTGATATAACCTCTAGGACTGGCAAGGTCACAGCAGGCTTATCCTGCTGGCAGCAATGTAAATGGGTGGGACTCTCTCGAAAAGCAGAAAGGCCAGGCTCAGGAAGAGCCTTAGAAATACTTCTGTCCTCCCAGCCCAGCGATCCTGCTTCCTCACCCTAAGGAAATCACTCAACAGAAAGCAAAAGCTACAGGCACAACGATGTCTGTTGCAGAATGATTGGAAGTAGGGAAGAATAAGGAAGAAAAAAGGAACCAGAAAGAACATGAATGTCTCATGATAACGGAGTTCATCGGAAAGGCCTGACATATCAGCACAATGCAGTGGTATAAAAAGAGGGGAATTATCATAATGGTGATTATGCAGGATGAAAATGGCGAGGATATAGAGTTAACTGCAAAAGGTGATGTTAATCTCCATTGAGTCCAGTGCGATAGTGGGACTGTGCAAAACCGCAGCCATGTGACATGTCGATGCAGCAGAGCCGTGAACCAAAAGGCCAAGGTGGCCTCCAGGTGGAAGGGTAACGGGAATTCGCATTTCTTTTGTGTTGGAAGGTGTGTGTCTGGCACATCCTTTTCAGCCCTTCCTTTGCCCAAGGCGCTCGATCGGCCATGTAAGCCCTCCCAGAGCCACACATAAAACTCCCATGACAGCAGAAAGACCCCCATGCCAGCCTAGACCGGAGTTCTGGCTCCAGGTCTGGTGCCATCATTTAGAGGGCACATGACCTTAGACAACCTCTTAAGCTCTCTGATCCTGGGAGTGTGCAGCTGTCACACTGGGTAAATAATCCACAACCACGGGCTGCCATGAGGATAGAACAGAAGAGTTTTGTGAGGGTGGGCACCTCAGTGCCTGGCACACAGCAAGGAGGAGCCAGCAAATTATCAGTTGGAAGTTTGACATCTAGAAAAATCGAGAAAATTCAAAGCTGTACCCCCGCCCCATGCCCCCTACATGGAACAGTTGCTTTCTTAGCCATGAAAATCCTAAGTGTGATAAAACTTGAGCCACATTAAAAAGAGCCTGGATTGATCGAGTCTCCTTATAGCAAACAGAAAACCCAGGACAAACTGAATTATCCAACAAAGGGAAGGAAATGATAGACTCTTGTAATAAATGCCACGGTGGGGATCAGGTAGGGCTTAATCCAGCAGCTCACGCTGTTGTCTCCACCATCTCAGCTCTGTCCCCACCTCAGCCCCCAGGCCTGGCTCTGCTGTCTCCCTGGAACCCCTCAGTAGCTCGAGTGGTTCCCACCTCTTGACCTCATCCCCTCAGGCCCTACAGTCAGGAGAGAAGAGCATTTCCTCCACGCACAGACCTGAGAGTGGGTCACATGCCCATCACACACCACCCCCTCCTGGTGGCTCAGGGGACCGGCCACACTGCTTCATTGGACCAGCCAGGCTCCTCCTCAGGGTGGGAAGGGGCCCATCCCCCTCTAGGACCACCCTCGTGGCTGAGGAAAGAGAAGGGGTGACTTCCCGACGGGAAAATCAGACGTTCTTGGTGAGAGAGGGGGAGGGGGCCGTGAATGCCAGAGACCAGGAGCTGCCCAACCAGCGTTTACCTTGGACCCCCACGAGGGATCCTAAAGCAAGCGATTCAGAAGTGGGCGAAGCCATCGAATCACAACACTGGCAAGTTGTGACACTTCCTTAGCTAATAGACCCTTCAGCTTCTTCATTTCCAAGCCCCGCTGCAGGACTTCACACGTTTTAGATTGCATGGGGTGTGAGATCCAGCATCCCCTCTGCGAGGCAGCTCGCCGCCCATCTGGGCCTCCTCCCTGCTGTCGCCAGCCAAGGTGAATGGTGCCACCTCCTCCTGCCTCCCGCCCCCCTCACCTGGCAGTGCAGCACCCCTCACTAGACCCAGCTCATCTACCTCCCAATCACGGGGGTTGAGGGTCCTCCCTGTCCTGCACACCTGGGACTCAGGCCCAGGGGAGCAGAGAGGGCCTGGCCAGGGCCCCACGCAGCCCTGCGGCAGAGGAGAAGGATGCAGCGGGCTCTGCTAATAAAAGCCGGCCCTGTGTTCCTTCTGGGAGCTGGAAGCTGACCTCCCTGCCCCCCTCCCCGTCCCTGTCCCCATCGCGTGGCAATCAAGGCGTTTCCAAACACATGCGGCGAGCGATAGCACGTCTCGCTGGCTATTAATTAAAAAAATAAGTAGGGAACAGTTGCTGTTCATTTGCTCAACTCCCTGCTCACAGAACCGTTGCCGATTACCAGTGCTAATTAACAGAGGGCATGTGCACGCGGGGAATGCACCATTTTATGAGCGACTGATCCGTGGCGACCAGCACTGCAGTCGGGGCCAGAAGGGGCCTCAGGAGGCCATTCTGCAGCGTGGCTGTTTATTGATGGCATTCACGCAGCCTGGGACCAGGCAGCCTACCCGCGAAGGACGCAGCACTCAAATCAGCGAGGGGAGAAATGGCTGGAAGTGGACCCTTAGGGAGCGCATGTGGGGGCCAGGACGCGTGACAGGGCCTTCCCCGGTGTCTGTACCCGCCTTAGTCTCCGTGACAGGATTGCCAGCGAGATGGTGTCATCATGTCCTGTTTCCCAACCAGGCTGAGGAACGTCAGGCGGCTTGGCCAGGGTCCTATGTTACTGACCGAATTCATTTGCTAGGGTGGCCATAACCACGCACTGCAGATGGGGTGACCTAAGCCACAGAGATGTATTTTCTCACAGTTCTGCGGGCTGGAGTCCAAGATCAAGGTGTTGGCAGGTGTGGTTTCTGCCAAGGCCTCTCCTCCTGCCTTGCAGATGGCCGTCCTCCGGCTGTGTCCTCACGCGGTCTTTCTCTGAGCATGCGCAACCCTGGTGTGTCTCGTGAACAGCTCTCCCCTTTTTATAAGGACATGGGTCAGACTGGATTTGGGTCCACCCTCATGGCCTCCTTTTACCTTAGTTACCTCTTTAAAGGCCCTGTCTCCAAGTACAGTTACATTCTGAGGCACTGGGGTTAGGGTGTTAGCATCTGAATTTTGGGGGGACATAATTTAGCCCGTAATACCTTCCCCAATTCATGAACGCTCGGGAATGGGGGAGAGAAGAACACGTTCAGGCAGAATCTGATGCCTTTTAGACATTTTTTGTGATTTGCAGACTCTTACGGAAAATACTAACTGCCGGGGTTTCACAGTAACTATGTGTTTTTTTTTAAGATTTTATTTATTTGAGAGAGTGTGAGAGAGAGCACAAGCCGGTGGGGGGGCAGAGGGAGAGGGAGAAGCAGGCTCCCCACTGAGCAGGGAGCCCGATGCGGGGCTCGATCCCAGAACCCTGGGATCATGACCTGGGTCAAAGACAGACGCTTAACCAATTGAGCCACCCAGGCACCCCCAGTAACTATGTTTTAAGTGCTTTACAAATAGGAGCTCTTTTAATCTTGGTAATAACCATATGTAATGGGTGCTATTCTTACCCTCCTTGTACGGATGGGGAAATTGAGGCCCTGAGTGGCTAAAATAACTTGTTGCTTAGTGGTAAGCCGAATCCAGCCTATCTGTCCTGTTTTGATCCTTTGGCATTCTTTTTCTCTTCATTAAGGCCAAATCGAGAACAAAAGGCAGAGACATCAAAGATGCCGTCTACGTGACCTTGGAAATCCTGTCCAACTGGGGCCACGCGTCCTGGGTGGGGCTCACGGAAGTGGAGTTCTTTGACCTGCATAACACAAAGCTTTATGTGTCACCCCATGACGTGGATATCCAGACCACAGACACACCCGGGGACCTGGGCCACCTGGTCAACAGGCACTTAGCTGTAAGTGGAGGCGGTACCGGAGTGAGACTTGCCCTCGTATTTTGATGCATTTTCTCTGCCCACGATAGGCAATGCTGCCAACGTAACTGTAAAAGCTTAGCACCATGCCTGGCTCTTCCAAAGGGCCCCCAAAACATCAGTTCTTATTGTATTTGTTATTGTTATTAGATTAAGAAGTAGATATTGTTCCCATTTAAAGACGAGGAAACAAGAAAGGGGAGTTTTGAAATCCTCAGTTCTAGAGACCCACATTCTGGTCTTGACTCTGTAGATTTCAGCAACTTACCTGCCTTCTCTGAGAATTAGCTTCTCTGCCTCCTATAAAATAGAACTGGAGGGCGGGGTTAGTCCATAGGATTCTGGTTTGTCAGCAAAAGAAACGGGAGTCTGGCTCACTTCCACAAATTTCTAACAAAAGAACTTTGTTGCAAGTCTTTGGGTAGCTGGTAAGTTGACTGCCCCCCAGGCCAGAAGGGGCAGCCCCCACGGTCATGTTGGGGGTCTAGGTGGCATCCAGGATTCATGGGCACCAAGGGCGTGGTCTTTTTTGGGGAGTGGGGGGCAGTGGTGGTTCATTGGGGGGGTGGGAGGCAGTGGTGGTTTGTTGGTTTGCCATCCTGTCGCTCTGCTGGAGACCCACTGTCCCAGGAGAGGAAGGGCTGCTGGCCAGCCTGGCTAGGAAGGTGGGCACCTTAATGCTGATTACACCGAGATGCCGCAGCAGGGCAGGGAGAGAATTCTCCCTGGAGAAGTTCAGCGTTGTTACCGAAAGGAAGGCAGGGGAGATGCTAGATAGCTGAGAAACACCACCTGTTCACAGGGCTAGACTGGGTAGTGACAGCCCTCTGAGATCAACAGCTCTGTGACCTTGAAAGAAACAGGTCCCATAGGTCATGGCCGCTGGGAGGCTCTGGCCTTGCATTTCCTGCTCTGCTTCCTGCTTCGAGTCTGTAGGCGCCCATGTGTGCTGCAGGGGCTTAGAGCGGCCCTCACCACCCCACCCCACCCTTGTCCAGAGCAGTGACATTCTGGAAGCCTGCTGTATACAGAACAGAGCCTACGAGGGCAATAAAAAGCATCATTGGATTTGATCGGGGCCGATTCTCAGGATGATTTTTCCTTTTCCTCTGTTCAGCAGAGGCTGGTGAGCTTTGCCACATGACAGCAGGGAGGAATGGGGCCCGTGGTTCTCGTGGGGTCGGGGTTTTAAATTTGGGGCCCCGAGGTTGGGACAAGAGCTGGCCGTCTCCCCCTGGGCTGCCGGATCTCTGGGCCCAGCCGCATGCGGGCTGGATTCCCCCTGCCGCCCTGGCACGGGGTCTCCCCGATGGTCATCCTGTTTACCGGTCTGGGACCGCCAGCACATAACTGCCTCTCAGGACCACCCAGTCTTACTGGGGTTGATTAAAGACCCACAACACACAGGTCAGGGCTGCAGACATCCCTCAGGTGATCCTCACAGGAACCTTGAGTTCCTCTCCACATCTGCTGAATGAGAAACCACGTCTCAGGGAGGACAGGTGACTTGCCCCAGCCACACGGCCATGCAGTCAGGGAGCTCGGCTGCAATCTCACCAGGAGGTATCTGGAAGTGGAGTCTGGGTTGGAAAGAGAAGTCGCTTCAGCGGAAGAGAACAGGGGCTGCTGGAAGATGTGGGGGTGCCCCGTGCTCGGTGCCAACCCTCCTCCCATCTGCGTCCACACCATCTCTCTTATTGGCCTTGCCCAGGCCCATGGCTTCAAGATGATTCCAAATGGATACACCAAGGCCCGCCTGATTCTCTGAGTTCCTGACTTGAATGCCTGCCACTTCCTGCTCGACATCTCTCCTCGGATGCCTACTGGACACCTCCGACTTCAGAGATGTAAATCCTAAGTGTTCAGTCCCTGGCCCCGCCCACATCTCTCCCTCCTGCAATACTCCTGTGCCCAGTCACTGGCATTGTGGTCCGCTCTGCTGCCAAGCCCATCTCCTAGGAGTCTTTCTGGACTTCCCCAACCCCTTCCCGCCACCTTCCAGGACCCCAGCAAGTCCTGCTGATTCTTCCTCCCAAATGGAGCCTGAGTCTGGCCCCTTCTCTCCATTTCCCTGGTGGCCCCCAGGTCTGATCAGTGCGCCGTTCCCTTAATGGCCTCCTATCTCATTATCTTCTCTTCCAGCCCCTTCCGCTCCATTTCCTATTCTGGATCCAAAGTGATCTTTTACAAATGTCAGCCTGCACCCCTCCCCTGCTTAAAACCCTGGCCATGACTTCCCAGTACACTTAGAAATAAAATCACGTGCCCCCTATGGCCTGGGAAGCTGTGAACGGGCCTCCAACTCCCTCTCTGCCTGCCTCTCACACCCCCTGCCTCACGCACCAGGCTCCAGCAGCCATGGGGCTTCCTTCTGCTGCTCGGACACTCCAAGCTCATCTCACCTCTGGGCTCTGCCCAGAACATCTGTCCTCCAGAGTTTCATGTAGCTATCTGCCTTCTCCTCAGATTTCGGCCCAAATACCACTTCCTCAGCAAGCCCTTCCCTGACAACAGTGTGGAGGAGTCCTGTCTCATGCCACCCCAGAAAATGTCATTTTCTTCAGGACACTTCTCACATTAAGAAATGATCTTGTTGCTTGATCATTATCTGTCTCCCCTCCATTAAGCTACACGTTCTTGTCTGTCCTAGCCATCCTATATCCCCAGCATGTAAATGTACAGTATATTTTTTGTACTTTTTATTTGGAAGTCATCATAGAATCACAGGAATTTATTAAAAAAAATTGTGCAGAGAAGAGAAAAATGATAGAGGGAAATCAATGAAGCCAAAAGTTGGTTTTTTGAAAGGATCGACAAAGTTAGGTTTGTTAACTAGGTTTTGACAAGGAAAAAGAAGAAAGGATTCAAGTTACTGAAATCAGGAATGAAAGAGGGGACTATCAACCTGACAGGGGAAAAATGATTACAAGGGAATATTCTGAACAATTTTATGCCAACAAATGAAGATATCCGAGATGAAATGGACAATGTCCTAGAAAGACACAAACCACCAAAACTGACTCGAGAGTAAATAGAACATCTGGCTAGACCTATACAAAGTAAAGAGATTGGATTAATTAAAAAAAAAAACAACTTCCCACAAAGAAAAACCGAAGACCAGATGGCTTCACTGGTGAATCATACCAAATATTTAAAGAATTAACACCAATCCTTCACAAACTCTTCTAAAATATAGAAGGGGAGGGAACACTTCCAAATTCTATGAGGCCAGTATTACCCTGACAACAAAAACCAGACAAAGATATCACAAGAAAAGGAAACTATAGACCAACATCATCCCTTATGAATTAGATATAAAAATCCTTAACAAAACATTAGCAAACCAAATCTACCAGTTCATAGAAAGATTTATACATTGAAACCTAGTGGAGTTGATCCCAGGGATGTGTGGTTTGTTGTTCAATATACAAGAATCCGTCAATATAACACACCATGTTAATAGAATAGAGGGGAAAATAACCATGTGACTCTTGATACAGAAAAAGCATTTGACGGAATTCAACACCATTTTGTGATGGAAAACCATAAACAAACCAAGAATAGAAGGATACATTCTCAACCTGATAAAGGGCATCCGTGAAAACCCAGAGCTAGCATCATGCTGGTAAAAGACTGAAAGCTTTCACCCTAAGATCAGGATCAAGACAAGGATGACTGCTTTCACCACTTCTGTCCAACCTTGTACAGGAGATTCTTCCCAGGATAGTTAGGCAAGAAAATGAAATAAGAGGTTGGAAAGGAAGAAGTAAAACTGTATTTGTGGGTGATATGATCTTATATATAGAAAACTCTAAAGAATCCACAAAAATTACTAATAAAGCTAAAATCAAGATCAGCAAGTTTACAGGATAAAAGACCAATATACAAAAAAATCAGTTGTACTTCTATACCCTAGCAATGAACAATCTGAAAAGAAAATTAAGGGAAAAAATCTGTTTAAAATAGCATCAAAAAGAATAAGATACTTAAGGTAGCTCTATTTTTAACTTCTTGAGAAACCTCCATACTATTTTCCAGAGTGGCTGTACCAATTTAAATTAAAAAAAAAAAAAAAGAGTAAGATACTTAAGAATAAATTTCACCAAATAAGTGAAAGACTTATACATTGAAAAGTACAAAATATTGTTGGTGGGAACTGAAGAAGACCCAAATGAATGAAAAGACATTCCATGTTCATGGATTAGAAGACTTATTACTGTTGACGTGGTGTTGCTCCCCAAATTATCTACAGATTCAATGCAATCCTATCAAGATTCCAGCTGCCTATTTTGTGGACATTGAAAAGCTGATCTTAAAATATATATGGGAGTTTAAGGGACCCAGAATAGCTAAAACAGTGTTGGAAAAGAACAAAATTGGAAGACTCACACTTCAATTTCAAAACTTAACTACCAAGCTTCAGTAATCAAGACTGTGTGGTACTGGCATAGGGATAGACAGAGAGATCAATGGAATAGAATTGATGGAGAAATAGACCCTTACATCTACAGTCATTTGATTTTCAACAAGGATGCCAATACTACTGGATGGAGAAAAAAGTCATTTTTTTAGCAAATGGTACTGGGACAACTGGATTTCTGCATGTAAAAGAATGAAGTTAGATTCATACCCTAACATCATCTACAAAAACTAGCTCAATGGATCAAAGACCTTAAAACTTTTAAAGTTTTAAGGCTGTAAAACTCTTAAAAGAAACATAGATATAAATCTTTGTAGCCTTGAGCTTTTCAATGAGGTCTTAGATATGACATCCAAAGCACAAGCAACATAAGAAAAAATAGATAAATCAGACTTCATCAAAAGTTAGAACACTTTTGCATCAAAGGACATTCATCAAGATAGTGAAAAGACAGCTTATACAATGGGAGAAAATATTTGCAAATCATATATCTGATAAGGGTCTATCATCCAGAATACAAAAAGAAAAGAACTCTTAAACTCAACAACAAAATGACCAACAACCTAATGAGAATATGGCCAAGGTACTCTGCATAGACTTTCCTCCAAAGAAACACATACATGACCAAGAAACACATGGAAAGATGCTTAACATCATTAGTCATCAGGGAAATGCAAATCAAAACCACAAGGAGATATGATTTCACACCCACTAAGATGTTATCATTTGTGAAAAGAAAAGAGAGGGCGCCTGGGTGGCTCAGTTGGTTGGGCGACTGCCTTCGGCTCAGGTCATGATCCTGGAGTCCTGGAATCGAGTCCCGCATCGGGCTCCCTGCTCGGCGGGGAGTCTGCTTCTCCCTCTCCCGCTCCCCCCTCTTGTGCTCTTTCTCTCTCTCACTCTCTCTCTCAAATAAATAAATAAAATCTTTAAAAAAAGAAAAGAAAAGAGAAAATAACAATATTGGCAATCGTGGAAAAAGCACACCTTCCGGTGGGAACTGAAAAGTAAAGTGGTGCGGCCATTGTGGAACATAGTTTGGCTGCTTCTCCAAAAGTTAAGGGTAGAGTTACCGCATGACCCAGCAATTCCACTCCTGGGTACAGACCCAAGGGAATTGAAAACGTGTTCCCACAAAAACTTACACACAGATGTTCATTGCAGTACCATTCATACTAGCTGCTAGGTGGCAACAACCCAAATGTCTATGGGCTGATGGGCAGATAAAGAAAATGTGGTATAGCCACACAATGGAATATTACTCAGCTCTGAAGAGGAACGAAGCACTGATACCTGCTACATCATTGATGAACCCTGAATACAGGATGCTACGGGAAAGAAGCCAGACACAGAAGGCCACATATTGTGTGATTCCATTCATATGCAGTGTCCAGAACAGTCCATTCATAGAGCCGGAAAGTAGATCAGTGGTTGCCAGAGGCTGGGGTAGGCAGGAATGGGGAATGACTGCTGAAAGACATGGGCTGGGCGCCTGGGTGGCTCAGTTAAGCGACTGCCTTCGGCTCAGGTCATGATCCTGGAATCCCAGGATCGAGTCCCACATCGGGCTCCCTGCTCGGCAGGGAGTCTGCTTCTCCCTCTCCCGCTCCCCCATCTTGTGCTCTTTCTCTCTCTCACTGTCTCTCTCAAATAAATAAATAAAATCTTTAAAAAAAAAAAAGAAAAAAAAAAAAAAAGAAAGACATGGGCTTCCTTTTTAGGGTGGTAAAAAAAAAAAAAATGCCAGAAAAAGATAGTAGTGATGATTGCACAGCCTTGGAATACACAAAAACACTGAATTGCACACTTTAAAGTGGCGATTTGATATATGTGAATTATATCTCAATTTTTTAAAAAATAGAGAGAGAGGTCCCATGTGTCCTTACCGGCTTCCCCCATTGCTGACATCCTATGTAACCATAGTACATTATCAAAACCAGGAAATTGATGTTAGTATAAGGTGCAGACCTTCGTACACGCATTTGTGTGCATGTGTGAGTTCTATGCAATATTATCACATGTAGATTCATGTAACTATGACCACATCAAGATACACAGCAATGGGTCCGTCACCACAAAGGGATTCCCTCACGCAGCCCTTTATAGCCACACCTCCCTACACCCGTCCCTAACATTGGCAACCGCTGATCTGTTCTCTGTATTTTTTGTCACTTGAGGAATGCTATATAAATGGAATCATACTGCACGTAACCTTTTTGAGACTAGCTTTTTTCACTCCGTATAATGCCCTTGACATCCATCCAAATTGTTGTGTGTCTCAATAGCTTGTTGCTTTTGATTATGGTAATTTATTAAATTGGGGCTACTTCTGAGGGCGATCCAGCATCTGCCCGAGGGAGTGGGTCTGTGTCAGGCTAATTCTGGAAGAGGAAAGCACCTTTGTTAGGAGTGAGAGGCCTCCTCTGACCATCGTTCGGAAAATGCCCTTCCATTGGCCATTAATAATTTCTCTCTTATTTTATTTGTCCAGCTTATCCCTGCCTGATGGGTTCTTTCCTTGGCAATTTTCCTTGTTTGCTTCCCCAGCTCGTGTAGAGCTGGGACCTGGTGGGCCAGGCTCCGCCACCCACCCCTGTGTGGGGCTCAGCGCCTGCCTCACAGGAAGGTATTTATATTGGGCAGGTGGGTAACAGATGCAGTTGATGCCTCCCCAGCCCCTGGTCCTTCCTGCATCTGTGCGTGCTGGCACAGGATTTCTCTGATTTCGATTGTCTTTCTGGCCTCCGGGGCCCACTTGGCCCCCCCTGAAGTAGGCCCAAACTGGTGGGGAATTGAGCCCCTAGGAGCCGCCCTCAACCTACTCTGGTGGGAATTGGGGTGTGAATACCCCAGCTCCCTCGCCCCGAGGGCGGCATTGCTCTGAGGCATGTTCTGCTCTGGCCGCCACACTCCCTGGTGGCACCGAGCTCCAGATGCCACAGGAGGGGCTAGCTTGGTAACACACTGTCTGTGGAATGCCTTTCCCCCCTTGGCCTCCCCACCTTCCAGCTGGTGTTTCCTTTGATGTCTAAATAACCTCCCGATGCTCACATCCTTGCCGCGGGGTCTGCTTCCGGGGGAATCCACACTAAGACAGAATGAATTAATGAATTCTAACGGGTGTGAATCCTGACTCCACCGCTTAGGCAAGCCGCACCACTTTCCCCCTTGCTGAGCTGCACTCTTCCTTCCGGGACATGGGTTACAGCGCTAGTCCCCACCAGGGCTTTGAGAGGAGGTGCCCTGCTCCTCGTTCTGCCATTTCTGCGATCGTAGAGATGGGCAGGCTCAGCGGACGCTTGGCCTGCTGGCCTGGCACCTGCGGCTTGCCCAGCGCGCCTTGGGCAGCCCGCAGCGGCTTCCCGGCAGCCTTTTTCTTAGAGACTCCGTCTGCTAATGAGGCCCTGAGTTAGCCGCAGGTTAATGTTCTTTGACTTTGAACACCATGATTCCCACTTAGTCCTCCTGTTATCCCTCCCGTTGACAGAAATGTGATGGGAAATCAATTACGGTCCCCTCGCCCGCATCTAGGGGTCAGCCTTCAGACTCTTCCTTTGTCAAGCAGCCACACTGACCCAATTTAGGCCCCGACTTGGGGAAGGAATGAGGGGCACCCGGTGGATTTTGAGCTGTGGTATCTTGACCCCTTGCAGCTGCCTGGAGCACTGAAAGTTCTTGCAGAGCTTGAGAAACTCGGCCAGAATAAGTCAGAACCCCTTGAACTCCTCTCTCTCCCTTAACAAAAACTACCGCCTCCCTCCTGAAAGGCACCATTGTCATTGGGACAAGCCCCCCTTTGTTCTCTTCCGCAGCTGGAGCCTGGGCCTCCCATCTCCAAGGGGCCGGCACAACCTCCAAGCCAGCCAATCTCCTCCTTCCCTGGCTCTATCAAGTAGCCCGCATGGCCCTGGTGACAGGAGTCTGTTGAGACCTTCTCAAATACACAGCGATGCTCCCTTTAGGTAAAAGGGACAACTCTAGCCAGCGTCAGAGATGCGGTGGTTCCATCTCAGCCTCTAAGCAGGGACCTGAGACTCAGACGCCTGCAGGGGCCAGACAGAGAATCATATCCTGGGAAGAGAAAGGGGTGTAAAACATTAGGAAGCGGTGGGGACTGGGGCGCCAGAGATCCCCCAACGCCGGCCATGGAGGGGCAGAACTCTAGCTCTGGAAGGGGAGGGGAAATCTCCCCATCATTAAATGTGGCCAACAATGTGTTTTTAATACTTCATGAGCCAAACAAAATCACCCTGCAGGCCAGATCAGTTTGCAGCCTCTTTAAAGTTTCCATGAAGGGACAGCCATTAGGAGGTAAATATCAATCATTCATTCATTCCGTCGTTTATTCATTCAACAAAGATTCTGTGCCAAGGAACTGTGCTGAATGCTCAGCATTCTGGAATGAGTTAGACACAGCCACTTCCCTTCAGGAGCGCACAGCCAAGCATGTGGAGGGGTGACCTGGACTGGAAAACAGGTAGTTGTGGGACACTGAGTAAATGCTAGCCTCGGGCCCTGCAAGGACCCGTGGGCACCTGGAGGACAGAGCGATGGTGTTAGGGAAGGGGTGACAGTGGGGGTGACAGCACATTTGTGCTGAACTCCCCCGGGTGGGAGAGGCTGGAAGCAGATTGCAAGGAGAGGCACAGCCTGCGCAAAGGCCCTGAGGCCGAGCCTGGGGGGAGATGTTCAGCAGCAGCCATGAGTTTCCTCGAGACAGGAGGCAGCTGGTGCTGAGAAAAGTTCCTGGATTTGGCATTTTCCACCTGCATCTAAAGTACCCATGACGTGGAATTTTTATCGGTGCAAGCGGATGCGACAGGGGGCCTTCCCTGCTCCTCTGGCCCTTTGGCCTTGAGAGTGGCCTGGCCGGTGGGCAGGAACCACACTCAGGGGTCCTGAGGCTTGGAAACTCTGCCAGGGAGCAGAGCAATTCCTGGGGCTCTGTGCCACAACCCTGTCCCAGTGCCTGCACTGGTTTCTTTCTTTCTTTTCTTAAATTTTTTTTTTCTTTTTGTATTTTTACATTTTTAAGATTCCACAGGGTTTTACAAAAGAAAACCAGACTCTGCTTGCCCGGTTAATTAAATAACACAAGTGACTGCTCTTTGCCCATCCTCCTCTCTCGTCTCTCCCCACCCCCAGCGCTCTCCCCAAAGCTGATTAAATTGATTAAAATAAAAGCCTGCTGCATTTTAAATTCAGCCCGAATAGCAGAGCAGAGAGGCCCACGGGGCAGCTTCATGCCAGGGACGAGTCAGTACCTGCCACAAAGTGCAGTTGGGACCGATGAGGTCTAAAAGCCCACCCTGGATTACATAGAGAAGGGAGGCCTGGCTTCCTGCCCTCCGCCCGTTTACTCTGGGGAGAGGCAGAGAACGGACTAACGACTCCCCTCTCTTGCTGGTGTTTCAGAGCAAGAAAGACCCCTCCTTGTGGATGTGCCCCTTCCACCCGCCGCTCCAGCTCTTTTTTGTTATCCGCAACACCAGACGGCTGCAGGACTTTGGTCTAGCCAAGATCAAGGTTTGGAATTACTGGACGGCTGATGGCGTAAGTAAAGGCCCCGACTCCTCGCCGGGTGTTTGACTGATGCAAGCACTTAGCGCTGTCCAATCATCTGGTTGCTGAAGTTGCAAGATGGGTATGCGGAGGCCCCGCTGCCCTTCCTGCTGGGGGTTGCCAGTGCCTGGCGGGGCATTTCATGCTGCGTGGTTGGAGCCATGGGGAGCAGAGCCTCAGCTTGAAGGTTTGGGAAATAAAATCAGGCCACCCTTTGGAGGAACTGGACAGATAGGAACTGGGGCTCAGTTTTGATAGATAAGGAAACAGACACACAGAGAGGTTATGTAACATGCCCGGAGTCACACAGCCGGTAAGCGTCGCCATGAGAATGTGAACCCACGCAGTCAGACTCTTGGCCCATTCACTTTGCGACTGCTTACCGGGGATCTTGCTAAAACGTGGGTTCTAATTCAGCGGGTGGAGGGCAGGGCCTGAGATTCTGCATCCACGTGTGCCAATGTTCCTGGTGTGGGGACTCCACTCTGAAGAGCCAGGCTCTTAACCCCTGTGCTCTTCTGTTTTCCCGGTTTCAGAATCCCTGCCCTCCTTTCTACCCGCTCCCCCCCACCACCCCCTACTTGGAAGCACTTAACCCCTCTCTCTTCTCTGGACTGTTTTCTCGTGTTCTCATTTGCACTTACTCCTTCATTCAACATTTCTTGTTGAGTGCATCTTCCTGATCAGTTTGGAGGACACTGATATGAAAGACACAGACCCCGTCCTGGAGGTGTTCCTTGTCCAGAAGCCGGCAGACAAGTAAATAAAAATATGATGCAGTGTGCTGAAGGCCTTCATAGAGGTGACTGCAGTGTACCAGGAGTTTCAAATAGAAGCTCCAGGAACTCAGCAGGGAACTCAGTGGGTAAGGAAGGACAGGACCCCCTCAGCCTACCTTGTTTCCCCTCTTAGGATAGACGTGGGGACAAGAATTGTTCTACTTTCTTCTCCAATTTGTTCTCAGGAAGCGATAATACAAGGGAGATGAGCAAGGGGAACTGGTCCTCAGCTTCAGTATTGTCAAGAGAGACAGTAGGGCACAGTGGGGAGTGTGGCAAACGGGTAAGCACATGCTTCAGGTAAAGGGAAGGCCACTTCTCAGCCTCAGCTAATGGTTGCTATGTACGAAAGCTAGCCGGTGCTGCTAGATCTTCTGAACGTTCCCGGGGAGCTGGGAATCTGGAATTTGAAAGTAGCCTCTCTGGTTTGTCAATGTCGACAGCGAATTTGAATTCTTTTGAAATCACCACACAGTCCAGAGCAAACTCATCTTTGGGCTGGAGTTGGCCTGTCCAGACTGCAGCCCCCGGAGTATGGAGGGAAGCCTGAATCAGGCTGGGTGAGCTCAGGGAAGGTGCTGGAAGGAGCGCACACGTGAGCTGTAATGGAAAGAGACAGTGGCACAGAAGGCAGAAAGGGAGAGAGCGTATCCCAGGAGGGGGGCCCCACACGTGCAAAGGCAGAGGTACGCAAGAGTGTGGCCTCCGAACTGCACCCCCCCGCCCCGTACCAAGGCCCAGGCCTCCCGTCTGTCCCCAACAGCCACTGGGAGGTCTGATCATGATTCTCTGAGGCTTCAAACCCTCCAAGGCTCCCCTTGACCTGGAAGATCCAGGTCAAACCCCTGAGCGTGACCTGGGCCCCGTAATCCCCAGGTGCCAGGCCCTATGTCTCCCTCCCATCAGCCCCCGCCCCCTGCTCCGGCCGCACCCCGGAGTGCCCGTGGTCCACCACTCTGCCTGGGAGTTACACCTGGAGGCCCTGGCCCCTCCCATCTGGCTCAGCTCCAGATGCTCGCCTCCGTGGCAAATTCCCGGAAAACCGAACATCACTTTCTCCAGGAAGCCGGCCCTGACCCCTGACCGTCCTGCCACTTCTGGACCTCATGAATATGTTCCATCACCCCTGTACCGGGATGGACACCTGCCTCCCCCATACCACCGCGGGCCCCTGGGAGCAGGGCCTATGTTGTGTCCGCCTCTGCCCCATTCACAGTAGACACACGTGGTTACCAAAGGAAGGAATGAGTTCACTGCCCGAGAACCCACAAGCAGTTTGTCTTAACGCTTTGTGATATCCAGATGAGACGTGGAGAATCGGAGTTTACGACATTTGCGCGGGCTCGTACCCAAGATCAAAGGGGATCAGTCCAGGGGAGTCTGCTCCTCCTCCTTCCTTCCCATACCCCCCATCCCATACTCTTCCTGCAGATTCTCCCTCTCCCAGCCACCCTCGCAACTCCCCAGGGGTCCAGCTGTGTGCTTTCAGGCTGTCCTCCAGGCCCCGGCAGGACCCCACCCCTGTGTAGCAGCAGGTACTCCCTGCAGGTAGGGCCCTGCTCTCTCATTCCCCAGTCGGCTGGACATTTCCTGGCAGGTGGTCATTGGCAGCTTCTGGAATGAGCAGTGAAACAGTGCTGGCTGCCCAAGCCCATGCCCTGTAGCTCAGCCCTGTCGTTGAATATATGTCTCAGGCCAAGAAAAGCGGATTTTATGTGCTGGATTACAAAGCAGATAAGCTTCATCCCTTATGGCCGGGCCCGCCTTTCTTCTTGAACCTACACTCAGCCTTCCCTGTGTACTAAGAATAAAAAAAGAGGAGCAGGACATCAGGGTGTCGTTAGGGGTGCCTCGGGGAGCCTCGGGCGGCGGGGAGCCGAGTCCTGAGGTATTTCTACACATGGAGCAGAGTGCAGAGGACTGCAGTCCCTGCGGGGGGCGGGGGGGGGGCGCGCTTATGTAACGCACACCCATCTGTTGCCAGAATTTACTGGGGGCAGAAAGCGCAAACAAATGCAGCTGCAGGTTGGTTTGATTTAATATTCTCCAGAGAATGCTATTACTGTGTGTTTTAGAGGAGATAAAATGAGAGTTTATAGGAAATATAGCTCGGCCTGGTAGACACGGCTTGTTAATACAGTGTTTTGTGTCTGGGAATCCAAGGGAGAAAAGTTAAATGGGGGGAGGGGGGAGCGATTCCAACCAAGGCTTGTTTAGAACGTAAGAAAAGAAGGTGCTAGAAAAAGGGAAGTCTCTTTTATTGGAAAATACGATGATGTCCGTGAAGTCCTGAGGCTAACTTCGCTGGGTTCCCTTCCCCCCTCCTTAGGCGATGCGGTGAGTGTGGGCTGGCCCAGGGGGAGGGACTTCAGGGGAAGTGAGGACATGGGCTAGAATCCGTCCACACAGGCAAACAGAAGGCAGCATGCAGATGTCTATACTCGTCACAGCTGCCGTTTATCCAGGGCTGCGTCCACCAGGCAGGCGTGAGGCACACAGTAGGCACTCGGTCACATTTGATGCATGAACAAATAACTCAACGAACAAATCATCTCAGTTAACCCCCAAGAGTCCTGCAAGGTGGCGTCAGTCCTCACCTTGTAGACAAAGAAGCTGGAGCTTAGAATAGTGAGCTCCTTGGGGGCAGAGAGACTGTGTCTTTTTTGCCAGCCCTGCTTGGAAATGGCTGCCTGGAGTGCCATCTTGAGAAGGATCTGGAACCTTCCTTCTGGTTCATAAAGAGAAGTGTGTGTGATGGATCGGCGGTGTCTGCCTCGGGCTCAGGAGGAGGCTGCGATCATACATCTGTCACATTTTTCGGGGGACTCCTCGGATGGTGTGACTTGCCCAGCGAGTAACTCACAAGGGACACAGCTGGGAGGGGAACGTGAGGGGTGTGGGTTTTTCTCAGCACCACTTCCCCTGCAGAGCTACATCTGTTGGGAGGAAGGAGCCAGTAGTCTCCCTGCTAGAGTATCTAGTAACCCGTCCAAGAAGAGGGCTTTTGGCAGCTCCCTGTGGTCTATGTTTTCCTTCAGAACAAGCCTATGAGTTATCTGCTACCTGGTGGTGCCCTTCGGTAAATACAGGCACATTATCACCATCTTCATCCACAATGTAACCACGCAGATGCCACCTCCAGCCGGGTCACAACAGTGGGGGAGGCAGGACAGGTGCCCGGGTGTATCGTTCCTATACAGAAATGCTGCTCATTAAATAGTCTGTGAATGCTGGATTTTCCCAGTGGTGTATATCTGTGACATTCCGTGGTGGTCTAAGCCAGCGCTATCCCATAGAACTTTCTGTGATGAAGCTGATGTGCTGTATCTGCCCCCTCCCCTCCGGTTCAGTAGCCATGAGCTACAGGTGGCTGTTGAGAACTTGCAGTGTGGCTGGTGCAACGGAGAAAGTGCATTTTATTTTACTCGTTTATTTCTCATTGATCTGTAATTGACATATAAGATTATATTCTTAGATGTTTTAGGTGCACGACCTAATGATTTGAGATACATATATATATATATATTGCAAAATCATCACCATAATAAGTTTAGTTAACCTCCATCAGCACACATAGTTACAGAACATTTTTTTCCTTACGATGAGAACTTCTAAGATCGCCTTTCTTAGGAGCTTTCAAATATACAACACGGTGTTGTTAACTACAGTTATGACGTTATAGAGGATATCCCCCGGACTTACTTATCCTATAACTGGAAGTTTGCGCCTTTTGACCACCTCCCCCCATCGCACCCACCTCCCACTTGCCGCCTCTCGCAACCCACAGTCTGTTCTCTGGATCTGTGAGTTCAGGTTTTTTTAAGTTGCACATGTAAGTGGGATCGTACAATATTTATCTTTCCCTGTCTGACGTATTTCACTTTGCATAAGGCACTCAAGGTCCATCCATGTCTTTGCAAATGGCAAGATCTCCTTCTTTTTGATGGCTGAGTAATAGTCCATTGTGTGTATACACCACATCTTCTTTATATGTTCATCTGTCGGTGGACACTTGGGTTGTTTCCATGTCTTGGCTGTTGTAAATATAATGCTGCAGTGAACACGGGGGTGCAGATACTTTTTGGAGATAGTGATTTCGTTTCATAAGGACAGATCCCCAGATGCAGAATTGCTGGATCACGCGGTGGTTCTCTCTTTCATTATTTGCGGAACCTCCATACTGTTTTCCAGAGTGGCTGTCCACTTTATAGC